AGTAGACCTTGTTACCTACATCTCGGACTCGATCAGAACACTAACATGACAAAAGAAACACTTATCTGTTTTGGCATAGGAAAGAAACCTCTCTTGCAGTGACCTTTTCTTGTGATAGGAATGATAAAGTGAGAAAAATAAGAAAAAAAAATAATCGGAAATTTTATCACTTATATACACATTAAATAAACAATGTGTAATGTTGTGGCTAAAAAATATGACGTAAAAAAATCAACTATGCTTATATGACATAAAAAATAAACAACGCAAAAAAGGCAAATGAACTGTATATTTACATGTGCCTGGAAAAATTCTATTGATTACATAGATCGTGTGTAAGAACTAAATATAGAAGGAACGCGTTATAATCTGAAACAATACGCGTGGTTAAAAAATAACAATTTTTTATAAACAAGCATAACATGAAATGGGGTGATAATAAGCAACTTTACAGCATAACCAATTAATTAATTTATCGCTAAATCCTGTGCTATACTTAAAATCTAAATTGACTATATTTGGGAATAGGCGCGCAATACCATTGAATTTTTAGATTTGAGCTATAAACCGGCTTTTGTCTTTTTCGTACTATTTTCATAAAAATTTTCAATTGAGAGTGACATTTATTTTCCCACTTTAGCTCGATGCGTTTCCATAAAATAGGGACACCATAATCGGGAAACAAATAGAGCGAGATATAGTGACTTATCTATTGCTAAGAAATGTAAAATTTATTCTAACAGTTCTGATAAATAAAAAATGCTTGATTGCGCCATAAATAGTATGTATTGTATATTACATCTTCAAACGAAAAAAAATCTTTCCAGCTAGGCCGAAGGCACTCTGCTTCGGATAATCGTTATTCTGCATTAGGTTCATATTTTACCTCTTTGAATGGGATCGCAAAATTATCGCCTAATAATAGTTTTGAATCGCATATATCCAAGGTTGCACCACTTTCTCGGAACCAAGACCCTCCCAAGATTAAATCAGGTCCCGGCCAATCTGGTCCAACAACTATGAATTTGCCGGGTGTGCTTTTATGTTTCTCGCCATCATTAAAGCCGATATGCAAATCAACCTTTCCTAATGTGGAATAGGATGCATCCGGAGTTTTAATGTTATTATTTTCATCGTGATATGCAATTCCTAACTCACCAATATGTTTTTTTGGCTAATGCAATTTACATCGGCGCCTATATCAATTAATGCCTCAATAGGGATATTTTCTTCGACTACACAATTCACGAACATCATTTTTATTATAGCATATATTATTTAGATATAAAAATAAACATCTATTCATTGCTCTGGAACGGAGAGACTCTCCAAATCATCAAGCCTCTCCAGTAATTCATCCAAAGGAAGCTTCAATCCACATTTTTTGGCTTCCAACAGATTATCAGGTGATAACCCTAGGAGAAATAGATACTTGAGTTGATCCGAATCCTTTGGAGAGGAATTATTACTTGAAGTACACCTTATAAATTTTATATAATAATCCATTACCGAAGCATTGCCTTGTTCTATAATCCCAATCCCAAATCGGAATTTTTGCATATCGTTAGAATGAATTGTAATGTTATTTAAGTGGTCAACAAACTCATTCAATGTGTTTTTAATTCCAAACCTGATTATATATTTTTTATTCTCAAGCAATAAACCATCGAAGAAAGTTTTCTTAAGCTCTTTACTATCCAATTCTAAGCCTGATTCTAAAGCATATAATTTTATCGCCTCAAAGTAGGTAATTACCGATTGATCATGCTGAATCGGTGGAGGGGTCTTTTTGCTTTTTTTTTCAGATTCTAAGATCGGAGAGTTAGGTTGAGATATAAAATCTCTATCATCTGTTCGATCTACCCAATTTAACGTATCTCTTACTTCGAGAAGGATATCTATTGCCATAATGGATTAGTTGTATATTATACCATATCTTTAATAAAATGTTCTATGTCAATCAAGCGAATAAAAAATAAAATTAATAATTGATAGCTAACCCCATCTATATTATTAGTTTTCATCGAAGATGCAGAATGGTCTTGCCTGATCATATCGTTGTCCCCTCCTTCTGAAATTAACTATAGTATATCTATCAGATGGAGAAGTATGACTGTCGGGAGAACGCCTTAATGCTTGACTGGCAATACTTTTAGCCTCTGATAAATTCTTCGCACTATGCGCTACAACAGCAAATACCGATCCTAATTTGCGCAAAGAGCTAGGAAGTAGTGGCTTATAAGGTTTAGGAATAAATTAATCTTTTTTCAGAAATGAACTTAAGTATATAGATCCAGGCTTTTCATGATCCCTCAACTGTCCAGAAGAAATCGCATCCTGAATCCATGTAAGCAATCGTCTTGCCCGTTCCTCGTTTTTTTCCAGTGATCTAAACACCCGAGGAATATCATGCTGACCTAGGTTTTTTGCGTATCCAGTTACACCTCCATTAGATATGCGCAAGTTTTTAATTTCAGCAGGACGGATTCAGAGCATGATCATTACATCAGCTAGGGCCTGTTTATCGAGTGTATTAGACACATCATACGAATCCAGTCTTTCCTTAACTGATTCTAATGAGAAGTGGTCCGGAAAATCGAGTCCCTCATTTTCGCGTTGGTCACTACACTCCTTTTGGATTTTGTTGGATAAACGGGTCATCTCTGGATTAAATGTAAACATCATTATCGTCTTTGAGGCTTTAAGCTTTTCCAATTCACTTCGGAGCCTAGAGAGACTAGATGTGCCGGCAACTGAATTAGAGACTGTCTCGGCTATGGCATTTGCTATAGCTTTTACATCTCTTTCACCAAGATTGTCCCGCATAATACGCTGACTCTCGTGAGGAATTAATGCAAATTCCTGTTCTTTGCTAAACTTATATCCTTTTTGAAGGAGATCACGAGCCTGACGCCTTTTTTCTTTATCTACCTTTGGCACGCTAGTTTTCAAGAGCTCAAGTATTTCTGGCGCATACCGGGTAAACTCTTCGAGACTTATCTCTTTAGTGAGATTGTGGTCTGTAACGAACTTGGTTGAAATAGCAGACATGGAGTGGTATGTAAATTATAGGGTGGTAGTTAGATTAATCTGTGGTATTCAGATTATATTAAGTGGGAAAAAGTTCAAATTCGAAAAATTTATTCCGATATTTTATTATACTATGATCGGTGTAAGATATCGGGGCCGAAGATCTTTGGTTTAGTTTTTAATTACAAACTTTATTTTCTTATTTTATTTTCGATTTTCGGCTTTCGAATTTCATATACCGGAAATAGAATCTACTTAAATAAAAATTACTATAGTACGGAAATTTCACTCGAAATAATTGTAAACATACTACACAGGTACCGTAGGGGTGCCGCATAAAGAACACCCCCCTGCGGCCGTCAATAGCAACTAGGCAATAAATTTCGCTTAATAGAAATTTTCGAACGCTGATAGTTTGTATACCCACAGACTGCATGACCCTGGGTTAACGGGGTTTTCCGCGCATTAATAACATTCGGTCACGTGACATATAATCACAGTATACAAATGCATGGGAACACTACCCCTTTACAACGTTATGGTCTTTGTTTTGCTTAAATTATACAGCCGTTATTCGTGTAATTCAATGGAACTTTCTGTAAATAAGTATTGGATGCATTTGTGTTTATCATACATGAATTATATAGATCAATGGAGTTGTGCGACCAAATTCGCCCTATTTAGTCACCAGTAAAAATTGACAAGTTCTTTTCGTTTTCCTTTTTTTTTTTGCTCTCGAAGCCTGAAATTCGTTTCGCTAGACGAAATGATATATTTTTGCCGTTTATAATTACATCCGGAGCAAATAATTATCCACGCTACATTCATTCATTCATTAACCATAGAATATATCGCATTAACAATTCGCCTTCATATAGAATCAAGTTTATCGGCAACTTCATCCAATTTCTCGCATCTAATTCTCCACCAC